TTAACAAAGCCTCTTGCTCCCATACGCTTCGCAGTGTTCCAATGGCGCCCACCGTTACAAAACCGTTTTAGACAGACAGGACACAACCAAACCATGTAATCATTCCTCGAGCAGTCTAGGTGGAAGAGTAAAGAAAAGCTGTGAGTTAGGCAGATCTGGAGAATGGAGTGGGTCTCCACCCTCACCTTTCCAGAGCCGCATCCGCAGCTTACTTGGCACTGGACCGACTGATTGCCCCAGTGCTGCAAGACGCGGCCNCGCGGCCGCTCCGACCAGGATTTTGGGGTGTAGATGAATGCACTGTGTGAGGGGTGACTGGGTGCATGAGTGCTGTTTGCAATTTGGGAGGCAGTACCCCTATGCCTTTATACAACTCCGATCTTCGACTGCGAGTGATTAACTGAGAGAGTGATTCTCCCACCGAACCACCTGTACATTTCAATTCTCTTTTTGCTTTATTTTTTGTTTTCGCGTGCGGTTTGAAATTGTGAAGTGCTCTCGTTTAAAATCCTTCTCGTACTATTCCCGTGGAATATCTTACGATATTCCACATTTTACTCACAAGAAATTTGCCTAGTGTGTGTTTAGTATATTTATTGCGACCTCTTAAAAGGCCGCATTACATATGCATCGTTAGCGGTTTACATGTTTACTTCGAATAAGGTGAAACTTTTGATTGTTCGCTCTAACAATTCGTCATTTGAGTTTTAAAGTGTACTTTTTCGAAATATCCTCTCTTTTATTTGCTCTTAATCCGTTTCGCTGACATCTTTGGTATTACGGCTGAAATCTAGTGCGTAACACTGTTCGTTCTCTACCATATCTTTCATCTTTGTTTAGGTTGATTCTATCCCAAAGCGAGGCAATATTAAGTCTAAAGACGAAAGTTTCCAAGCTCGAGGCTGAGTTGATGGAGGTAAAGGCACTACTTGTCGGCCTTTCTCCGCAATTTGAAGCCAGCAAAAAGGCCATCAAAATCTCTGACCAAGTCATCTTAGATACTGCCAAAATGTTGTCTGAGACAGAAGCATGCAGTAAATGCATGATAATCTGGGGGAAGTTTCCAGCAGGAACTCCCCCAGCCCATAGAGTCAGGTTAGTCCTCGATAATCTTAGATCACCGGACATCCTGAACCCAATCCGGTGTTCCAATCATCGAACTAAGACTAACAAAACAATCAAAGGCATCATAGTCGAGTTTAACCAGAGCTCAACAGTGTGGCACTGTCTTGCTCAAGCTGATATCATGAAGAGATGTATATACGTTTCAGGCATGTCCCGAGATATTCCCCTTCATGTTAGAAGACTGGACTGGTGGCAAACAAATAGACGAGAAGCTCAAAATGCGTACTGCAGTCAATCTTACGCGACTACAGAGTGATGAGATACCTCATATCTCCCCACCCAAAAGGGTCAATAATCTATCCTTCGCCCCATTGGTCGCCAGCACTCCCGACGCCAGCTTCACCGACACAACCTCGGACGAACCAACAATAGTTGGGATCCTCAACCGCAAGGTATCATCAGCTATGAAGCTTTTCCACGCTCCGGCAAAGCTAAAAGTCCCAACCAAGGTGCCCAACTTCCGACCACCAGCTGGAATGAAGAAGCTACTCGGTAATCTTCTCCTCAAGGCAGCCTCTGCTTTTACCCTAGTGCAAACTAAATCTTATTCGACCAAACCGGAAAACCAAAGACAATCCCTTTGTGCCTAAACCCTCACACTTGGCAAACGTCTCTAGATCACTCCCAGCGAGAAAGCTAAGACAGGAATGCAATAAAAACAAGATACGTCAGCCCCATTTTATGCCTCTTGTAGACCGCTC